AGTCAAGTAATTGTTTGCTGTTATGTTGCTGGGTAACTTTAAAGCACCCTGATTATTCTGCAGCTTCTTGTTGTTTTCTATCTTTACTTGAATTTCACAAGTAAATGTTATTTAAACAGGTTTGCCACTACCGATGAATAAGTCCAATTAAAGGGCCAGTTCCAAAAAGTATTTGGTTGTCTGCCTTCTTGCCTAGTGAATCAGCAAAACGGTTACGTTTTGATGTGGTAACCTCTGATTTATCTTAAATTGATCACAATATTGATAGATGATCCTTCGGCCTAAGCTACGTACCTTGAGTAAATTATTAATGGTCTGTCCAGCGTGAGTAGTTCTTGTCTGCTATCTCTATATTTGATACTGTTTATTTTAACTTCTTTTGATGCTATTAGTATCCCGTGAGCTCTATTTGAACTGCACTGAAATTATTGCTCAACGTACATTTTATATTTAGGTTTAACGATGGGAACTGTCACATCCTAAGCCTATTTTTCTTTTTGAATCGTCGGTGTAAATATGAATTTTACCCTTATAACTTTATATGGCTTGTGGAAGATATATCTCGCTGAGAGGTGGTTCATGTTCGTTCGAAAAAATGGAAGCGTATCGAGTGCCTCTCGTCAAAAGCGACGTCTCGCCAGATCCTACATCAGGTTCTATTCCAATCATGTCATTGTCATCAAAGCAACCTGTTCGATTAAAATATCAAGAGGAGTGAGATGGAGAATGACTTTTACGGCTCCGGTTGATAGGTACATACAATCGACTGTTCGAGGAATAGCACAAATATAGTATACAGGGTGATTCCAAAGTTAATACTTTTTTTTAAATGTGTATTCATTAAAATAAACAATTTTAAAAAATCACAAGGATTTATGTCTGGTAGCCATGCAACTGGCCCATTTCAACGGATACACTTATTCTGAAAAGTAATGTTTCTATACTATCGTATTTTCCGACTAACGATATACCCAGATTTATATATTTTAATACGCAAGTTTCGTGGCCACCGTGCTAAATAATTAGATTTTTTGTTTTTTTTTTTTTATATTTATTTTTGACTTTTTTTTTGAAAAGGTTATTTATTTGAAAATAAAGTTTACTTGAATAGTTATGTATTTAAAAAAGTTATGTATATAAAGAAGGAATTTATTTAAAAAAGTAATTTATTTGAGAAGTTATTTATTTCAAAAAGTTATTTATTTGAAATATTTATTTATTTGAACAATTTATTAATTTAAAAAATATATTATTTTGAAAAATTTATTAATTTGAAAAAGTTATTTATTTCAAAAAGTTAAGTCTGAAACGGCGCTTGGCCCGAATTGGCACATCAAACTGCCGTCTAGGAATCTCGACAGTAAATGTCGTGATGGTATAGAGTTAGGGCATTTGTGCACAGAACAAAGATATCTGGGTTCGAAACCCACGACTGCATGCTTTTTTTCAAATCTCCAAGTATTTGTTTTTACCTTTGTGGTTCAGGGATGGCCTTAATAATACGTAGGGGGATTTTTGAGATTTTTTAAGAATTTGCAAATTATTTCTACAAATAATTTCAGATAATTCTTTCGGATTTCTATTTGCGATTTATGATATATTCAATTCACAATTTTCGTACTTAGGTTTACGTCGCTTAACGTACATTGAAAACTTAACTCACGCAGACGAAGATATGAGCTTAGTATGCATCAATGCATTTCTCATACACACCGATGTTGTATAGAGGTATTTAAAGATTTGAGAACGAGCCTGAAAAGGCGCTTGGCCCAAATTAACACATCATACTGCTGTCTTTGTGTACAGAAAAAAGATGTCTGGGTTCGAGTCCTACCGACGAAAGGCTTTTTCCAAATATCCAAGTATTTGTTTTTACCTGTGGGGTTCGGAGATGGACTTAATAATTCGTAGGGGTATTTTTGAGATTTGTTTTCGAATTTTCAAATTATTTCTAAGTTATTTATTTGAAAAATTTATTTATTTGAAAAGTTAGTTATTTATATGAAAGTTATTTATTTGAAAAAGGTATTTATTTGAAAAAGTTACTAACCTATTCCAAAACTTTGAAAATACCCTTTATAGAATTTACATAAATAATGTCAGAAATTAGCTGATGGCCACTGAAATCTCGAAACTCGTAGAAAAATATTTCAACTAAATTGTAATATCCTTCTGCAAATTGATAGTCTGTCACAATAGTCGAAAAATCAAAAACTTGTAAAAGTTATAATTTAGGCAACACCGCCGGGCTTCTAATAAACTGTGTGAAATAATAAAATATTACAATTTTATTTTATTTCCAAGTCCCGACCCCTCCCGCACAACCGGGCTTCGACTGGTCTACGTGATGTGATGGGCTTCGTGATGATAGCCGTGCATATATATATATATATATATATATATATATATATATATATATATATATATATATATTATATTTAAATAAGACACTAAAATAAATAACTGTAGCTTTATTAGTAAAATAGTAACATTTAAGTTTTCCATAAGAACGTATGTCTAGCAACATTTTCAGTGATTTAAGTTATCGATTCAGGTTTTATTTTTGTTTTAATAAACCAAAAGAATTCTTTATCATTAATAATAATTTTATAGATAAGAAATATGTTTTTCATAAATTTTTAATGTCATTTATAGAAATAAAATAGTTTATTTCTGTACCAAAGGCTATAAATAAAGAGTTGATCTTTTATGGTCAAATCAGAAATTTATGGCCGTGGTCAAGTAACTTCTGGTGAGTAATATTATAATTAATAGATTAACAGATAATTTATTTCGTGTAGACAATTTTTTACAGTGTATTATGATTTGTCCAAAATAAAACAGTAATAATAATATATACTAGTAATTATTATAAACAATATTTAAAATTCAAAAAATCTCCGGAAGTTTATTGTACAAGGCGCAAAATAAAGTCCCCTATTTGTTTTTTAAATAAAAGATTAATTAAAAAACAGTCATATTATAAATGAAAAATATTTATTTAAACTTTAAAAATTTGTTTTGTTACACACTAAAAACAATATCGACCAAATGGCCACCCCCAGTATTAATGCAATAATGAGCTCTTTTTAAAGCATTTTTCATAACTTTCTCCAACGTTTCTGGTGGTATTCTGTCAATTTATTCCCGGATGTTGTCTTTTAATGCTTCTAGTGTTCGAGGATTATTTACAAATAGCCTATCTTTAAGATAACCCCATAACCAAAAGTCTGGAACATTTAAATCGGGAGACCACCGAAATGTCTTTGCAGTTGGAACACCGCTCTTCCATATTTTCTACGGTATTCTCGTTGAGCTAGGATAATCGACGAATTATTTTGATAAAAAAAAATTACGATTTCGGCACGTTCTCGAGGCATATATCGATTCATAATGAATTTCCCAAGTATCTACTTTGCAACTGACAGAAAAACTCGAACAGATGTCAACTACAAACGAAACAATGACAGCCTTCCATAGGGTACTTGATTTTGCGCCACCTGACATATGACTTTGTAAAAATTATGAAATCTATATTTTGCCTAAATTTATTTAAATTCTTAAAAACAAACACATTTCTAGAACATATAATGAAGCTAGAGGCAAAATATCCTATTCTACAAATATTGGTCGACAAGAATAATATTTGGGTACTTTACCTATTAGTCTTAAGATCTTTATTGAAGAATAAAAACGTCACTAGAATCAGTTGAGTTTCCACACAGACCAATCTCGTATATCAATCGAGGTGCTACTTGAGCATAATAAATACAGATTAAAGTTTTGTGGTCTAAAACTTCTCTTACATTTCTAAACAAGTTCCAAAATTTAGAATGAGATTTAATCAACAAGTAACCAATTTAATTTATTTTTCGAAAAATTCAAAATGTACTTCCTGATGATGTAAATAAATTCAAATTAAAAACTATAAATATAAAACACACGTTCTCTAAGGACACCTAAGATCAAAACCAAACAAAAGAAATTATAGAATAATGAATAACCTTAAAATCACACTCAAACTTGCAAAAACGAGTACTGTAAAGTCATGAGATTACATCAATAATGCGCATGCGTCCGAGTACTCCAAATGTCAAAAGTACAGTGTTTTCATGAAATGTTTGCTACATTTTCAGCAGCGTTAGAGAACTATTTTTACCACGCGCACCCGGCAATATTGGCAATTCCATTCTAAATAATACAGTTTACTGCTTAGTAGTCATAGATCCATACATTCTGTATTTTTATACAAAATTTTAAACTTTATTAATAATTAATAGAGGTTTGTTCTTAATAATGAGAAAGCAAGCAAAAACAATTTCAATTGCCTTTTTAGACAGTATTAACAAAAAAGTTATTCTTCATATTTGGCACTCTTAATTTTTTTAAATTGCCTTAGCAACTTGCTGCATGATTGTAACATCTTCACATTAATTGCTGTCAATGATGTAGGTATCATTTAAATTTATTAACAACAGATTAGAACATGGTTTATTTAACAGAAATGCGTAAAATAATTTTATAAATGATTGGTTACGCATTGTAGTGTACTTAAGACGATAAATAAGCACTTCTCCAAAATAATGGCGTGCCGACTTTGGCAAATTTATATCCTGGTGCAAATCCACAAGTTCTAGCGAATGTGATATGGTTCCAGTCACATTACCAAAACAATGTTCGGCAATAACTGTTGTTATTCTCACATAACAATCAATATTAATATCTCCACAGACTATAATGTTGTGGAGAAACGGAAACATATAATGCAAAAATATTATATCTGATGAGGGCGAACTATAAAAACTTATAAAAAACAAAGACGTAGTTTTACTAATATTAAATGGTGCTCAATTTTTTGTTGTATTTACAAGGTACTTTCAAGATAAAATTATTTTTAGAAAACATTACACAACTACCACATCCATTGTCATTACGACAGAAATTATTGCACATTAAATAGTTTTTCAAGCATAATTAATTATTATAACATTTAATTATAGGTGCCATAAAATCCGTATCAGTTGCTTCTCAACGAAAATCCCTGGAACCGAAAAGGGAATCAGTCGATAGTATTAGCCTTGAATCTAACAAACCAGCACTAATTTCGAATAAGCCATTTACGTCTGTGAAAAAATCACCATCGAATTCCGGATTAGGATTTCTTTCAGATTTAAAGAAAAAAATCGAAGATGTCGTCGATGGTTCTATCGGAAGCAAACACGTTAGTGTAACTGAGGAGACTTTCAAAAGTAATGATAATGCTTTTGATCACGTGGAACGAAGCTCTCTTTTGACTGACTTGAGGGCTACTAGGGCAAAAGCACCTGGTAAGTAAAAATACATTTTATTATAGCAAGTGGCTTTGTATTCATTTATCTAGTAGACCGGCCGATAAAGTACAGGGTGTGGTAGAATAAGGAGCGATCTTAAAAATTTTGTAAAAAAGAAAAAATCAAGTTTTACAAATAAAATTATTTGGTTAAAGAACATAAAAAAAGCATTAATTATATTATTTTTTGAATATAATTCCGGGAAGATGACATCCAATCAGGCGTACACATTCTTCCCATCGTGGTCTGAAATTATTCATTATGTTACGCAGCATTGCCAAGGGAAGTCAAGTCAAAAAAATTTTATTGTTGAAAAATTAATTACATTCTTATTAACAAAAATAGATAACAAAATAAGAGAGCTAAAAACAAAAGTAAAAACTTAAAATTCAAAGAAAAGAAACAAATTTTTAAAATTCTAATGTCAATACAAAATATAATATAAAGAACAAAAATGTATATGCACAACACCAAGTACAAATATGACAATCGACAAATATTTTGTTACGCAGGTTTTTCGTATCACAATTTATTTCAACTGAACTTTAACAATAACGATGCAACTGATAACATTAACGTGTAACATATATCATAAAACTGAAAGCTGACGTCAGGATCATCCTTATATAGCTTCTCGAACCTTCGCGAACTGTCGTCTAGAATATTCTTGATGACTTTTCCAGACATTACTGGAATATTCTATCTTCTTTTACTTGTACTTTTACTTATAACGACCGCAGCACACTGTAGGGCGATGAGTAACATTACACTTCTTTTTCTATCTGTACGTTTCCTATGATAGCCGCAGGCTACTGCAGGGTGCTGCGTAACAATATAATATACACATAAATTAAAATGAGGTACTTAATTTAACCGATCACAGAAAAATTCATCCAATTTGTAGTAGGCTTTTTTTAGCAAGATTTTCTTAAGAGCGTACCTACAAAATTTTAACGTTCGAACTCGAAATCGTGTACTCTATCCCATATATTATTTTCCTACAACGGCTGCCGACGTTCAAAAGGTCTTGAATGAGTCAGAGATACCTGAATTAGGGAAACCAGAACCGCATTTAGTTGTTCTTGGTGCATTGTGAGATTTTGTTATAACGCAGTTCGATTTATTAGAGGGTGTTTATAATATTTTTATATTTTAATTTAGTGAATAGCTAATCTAAAGCCTGACATATCTAATAGCCCATATCATGCATTTGGTAAGCACGAGTACTGTTACAAAGTTAGGAAATGAAGAGAATACAGACTACACTGTTGACCTGACAGAATGCGGAATGATGAAAGATATATTGTCATCTATATCGAGAATAAAATTCCATGCGAATAGTTTAATTAAAAACCTTAATAACAATTACGCAGAATAATATAACAACTTCATTACAAAAATTTTAGGCGGGAAACGAATTAATTAGACGTCAAGAGGTAGTTATGAACTAAGATGTCCTTCTGCAGCTTTATCATATAACACTAAAGGTCTATACCATTCCTCATTCCATAAAAACATTACAGGGAAAAGTCCTGGCCAGTACACAAAAAAATGTGTATCAAAAATTGTTTGTAATGTGGAAAAAAGAAGACTGAGGCTTAAAAAAAAATAAAATTTAAAAAGCATGAGAAGAGACCATCACAACTAGCAGATGAGCATTATGGCCCCAATGCGAAGAAAATTTTGAAAATTGACCACGATGAATAAAAAAAAATTAAGCATCAATTTCTTGAAAATTTAAAGGTTTCCAGCTTAGAAGTACAAAATATTTTTGAGAAAACCTTAAGCCAAAGAAAATCCGATGAGTGGTTTGAGGAGCGACGAAAAAGATTAACTGCCTCAAATTTTGGACGAATTTGTAGACTTCAGGAATCTACTAATAACACTAAAGTTGCCATGGACATATTAAAAGGTACATTTTCTGGCAATAAAAATACTAATTATGGTATAGGAAATGAAGACAGAGCTTTAAGGGAGTTGAGTGAATCATTAGATAGTGAAATATCCAACTCAGGAATGTTCATAGATTCCGAACATTCATTTTGGCTGCAATTTCAGATAGCGTAATCGGTAAAATCTTTTGGTGGAAGTCAAATGTCCTCCTTCAGCGAAAAATTATATACCAGAAGAGGCTATTGATAAAATTTTTTTAAAATATATGGAAAAAGTTAACGGTAACTGGGGTCTATTCTGTAACAATTCCTTTATATTTAACGGCCTTTAAAAATATTTTCTTCTTTACTTCTGTCATTATTTAAACGGATCTCTAAAATACATTAGAGGACTATCTTAAAGAAATCTGTTTAAATAATGACAGAAGTAAATTAACGAATACGAACATATTTTTATAGGCCGTCAATATTTTTAAAGCCCGTTAAATATAAAGGAATTGTTACAGAATAGACCCCAATATAGGTTAAAAAAAACACATCCATACTGTTATCAAGTGCAGGGTCAACTTCATGTGAGTAAAAGAAAATTTTGTTATAGTACTATAAAAGGAATTCTTTATAAAAGAATTGAAAGGGACCAGAACCTTTGGAGGAAAATGTCAAAATTAACGAACTTTTATTTCGAACATTATTTAACAATATTATTGGAAGAAATTGTAAATAATGAATAATTTATTGTAATCTAATGCACTATAATTAAATATTATTATAATTTTTAGGGTTTGTACGAAGAAATCTGTAAAGCATTTATTTATAAATTTATTTATAGACGTAGTACACTCACATGTAATAGCTTACATACATGCTCAAATAAGCTATTAATTACTAGTACAATGATAGTGTTCATAAAGTATTCTGTAACCTAATGTGTTTATTATCTTAACACTTTACACACGAGTTGCATACAATATTTGTTCTACTACCGTACACATTATCCACTAATATTAGAAATATAAAAGTTCCTTTTTTTACTAGTGCGTAAATTACTGTACTTTACGCACTAGTGAAAAAAAATTGTCAAATTTTACTTTACTCACTCCACGGAGTGTAAAACTCTTTACGAACTAGTGAAAAAAAAATCAAATTTGACAAAAATTGTACATAGTAACAAAATATAACGTTTTATAATACCATTTATATGCTATATCCTTCTAAGACAAATAAGTAAATTATTTTTGCTTATATCTATTTAGTCCCCAACAAATTATCAACAGTTTTTTATTTTAATTATAATTTTCTCTAAATGTCATCGATTTAATTAAAAGTAAACAAACCGTGGATGTCGATTTTGGTAAAAGTAAATAGGCCGTGGCTGTGTGGATTAGAAGAACTGTCAATCTCTAAACTTTTATTAGTATATCATCACAGAACACGACAAAACTATAAGTTTAAGATTAATTTCTAAAGCCAAATCACTATGTACTTTACGCACTAGTGAAAAAAGTAACTTTTATATTTCTATTATTAGTGGATAATGTGTACGGTAGTAGAAAAAATATTGTATGCAACTCGTGTGTATAGTCCCTTTTTTGACTCATGTGATTGTCGCACAAGCCGTAGGTGAGTGTCCAAAATGAATGATAGATTGATTCTGCTAAAAAATTTAAAGCATCTTCTGGAAGATGTGAAAGAAGATTAACTGAAATTTCATCCCTACCCGAGGAATTCTTTTTTGTGGTAGAAGAGAGGATATCCTTAATTTCTACATCATTTGGTATAAAATGAAATGAATCGTTAATATTTAGATTATTTAAATGAGACAAAGTCATAAGTCGAAGGAGTTATTTGGGTGTCCACTTCCAATCGGATCCGTTGTTACAAGGCTTGAATTCTTCGTGATGGGTTATTTTGAAACACTTTATACTCTTCAAGGAACCTCACAAGAAAAAATTGCATGTTGTGTATTTGATATGAATCCTGGATTTGTGAAAGCATTTAGCTAATTTAAAAATGTCCATAAAAATCAAATAAGACAACTAGAACAAAAATACAAACCACTGAAACTAGCTACGCATTACGAGAAGAAAATAAATGTTTTAAAAATATTTGCCTTCTGGGTATAATATTTGGCAACAGTGTAACAATGTGTTGTTGTTCTATAGGGTTTTTTTGCGTGGGAATATTTATCAGTAATGTTTTTTTTATTTAAATTTTTTTTTGAAAAATAAATACCATTATTTACTGTTTCTAAGTAAATATGATTAAACATTCTGATGCGTTATTATAGTTCATTGACTTCATTATTGTTTATTGCTTTATTTAATTTAGAGTTTCATTTATCTCATAGAAGATGACATCATTTGACAGGTTGGATTATCTTCTTCATTTAAAAAATATAATTTATTTCAAAAACAAATTAAGAAACTTATTGAAATTATTGAACTTCTTTGATACTGATTGCGATTACATTTTTTTTTAATATGCCACATTTCCAATCGAATTTTAAATTGTAAAAGGGTCTCTCGTTTATTTAAAAATTTTTTAGGTAGGAGACCTCCCACCACTTCGCATAAAGATGAAGTACCATCTGAAGAAGGCGAGAATACAAATCCGAATGTGCAACATAGCGAAGAACAACCTGTCTATTCATCCGTTAAACCTCGTCTACGCGAATGGGAAAAACACAAAGCACCTTGGCTCGAAGAAATGAAAAAGAATCAAGTTAAACGAACATTGATTTCTGCGCTCGAAGAAAATTCATCTGAAATTGAAAGTAATTTGAAAGTAAGTATGGCTAATTTTTTTTTCTTCAATCGAAATACCAGGTCCCCAAAATTTTGTATAGAAATAGTTTTTTAACATTTCGTACATCGGCCGAACACATAGTTGTTACAGCTTTTACGGTGCATATTTTAAATGTACCATTTAGATCGTTTGAAATTGTAGTGTACTGTAAATAAACAAATAAATAACTCAGGTTTTGTTACAGGTGGAAGCTCCAAAAGTACATCATGAAGCGAAGTCACCACACGAATCAAAGTCACCTCATGAAGCAAAGTCACCATACGAAGCAAAGTCACCTCACGAAGCAAAATTGCCACGTGAAGCGAAGTCGCCAATCGATTCCGACAAACTGAATCATGAACCTACAAAACATTCCATAGCAGATAACGTAAAGGACATTCCAGAGAGTAGAAACAGAACCTCTTACAGGGAGTCTCTTAGCATTTCTCCGGCAGCTGAACCTAGACGCGAAAACTTTGCTTACGTTTTAGAACGGTTAGATAGGCTGGAAGAAACTGTCCAGAAGCAGAACCAAACTATAGAAGAGCTACAAAACAAGCTTCAACTAGAAATAGATTTAAGAATATTCCTTCAGGAAAAGTTACATAAATTACACGCTTAATATCTAATTTGAATTTCCTAGGAGGCTGAAATGGTTGGAATTCTGAAGCTTTGTCAACAATAAAAATCATCGAGAACGTGAGATAAGGTTGTTAATAATTAACTTTGACGTACTTCAGTTTATCCATAAGAAAAAGACTGCAGTACATCATGGAGTATTTTTAGTAAAATCTACTTTGAAAGAAACAATAATTAAAAACTCATAAAGATTTTCTTGCCGATATTAAAATGAATTATTTTTCTCCTATTTCTACTTTTAGGAATTCATTTTTCGTTTTATTAGTACTTGCTACATTTCTAATTTAAGTCTATACTTTTATTTCTTTAAAGCATGAAACAATTTATAAAAAAGTACACCTTTAAAAAATTATTTTTTTTTGTCGGCGGCTTCTTAATATTCTTTTTTACTATCTATTAAGTGTAAATTATTTATTTTTTCGTGTTGTTTTTTTATATTGTACGTTTTTATTATACTTTGTTTATTAAACTTGTTAAATTACATTTATATTGCTATTACATAATTTATATATTTGTTTAAAAAATTTAAAAATACAATAATTACATTTAGAATTACATTAATAATTGAAAAATTCAATGGGGAATGAAAAGAAAATATAAATAGTGACAAATATCGAAAATATGTGACAAAAGAATATCATCGAATTTTTTTCTCTTAAAAAAATAATAACGTTATGATTATTTTTTAGGATTTCATCAGTTCTGTTCAAAAATTGTACTTAAAAAAATCGCTTCTGTACTTTTCTCTCAGATAAGGGGAAATCAGGGAGATTTCAGAATAGTTCGTATTACTCTCATGGACGTTGTATTTGTATCAGAGTATTCTTCACTTATGATCTACACAACAGAACTGTTTTTACTATAGCTTTCATTTTGTTTCAAAGCAAGAGTATTTACGATCATTTTCTCTTTGCTATGTCCTTTAGATATAATTCAATATCGGTCAGAGCACATAGCTAGGTGATTAGTGGTTTTCTGGAGAGTACCAGTCGCTTGTATTACTTTATTTCTTTAAACAGAAAACATACTTTATAGTTATGTATTTCTTTAAATAGAAACAAAAGTTTTATCGACCTAGAAAAACCATTTGACCTACTCAAAAGAGAAGAAGGGGGTTAAAAGTGATTGTTTTACCAAAGCCTAAAGCGAGGGTGAGGCCTAAATATTCTAAACTTTGTTGTACATTTTTGAAGCTCTATTACTGCCAGCTTCTTTCTGTTGCTAATTTACTATCAAAAAGAAAGCGAACCATTTCCATTTTATTTATGGTTTGCTGACAGTCGTTTGTGTCTGCGATGTTTTCAGTCTGGATGCTAGAAGTCGTCTGTATCTCATAACGTTAATATTCTTAACAGAATGTGAGCGAAGAGAAATATTTTTCGTACCATATTATTTAAAGAACGATAGACTTTTATATATCTGGTCCTTAAAGGTAAATAATCGTAACTCTAGTTTTGTTAATGCATTGACTAAAATACCTGAAGCTTATATTTTTAAGGGGTAGAACATCGCATCTCTATTATTACTATAGTTCTATTCATATAGTACGTTTAGAAAAAATAGTATATACATTTTTTAAAAAAGGTTGAAAGTCGTATTTCCAACGTTGGGGCTCATTTTCTCCAAATAAAAGATTCTTTACCTCTTTGATACAGATATAGGATTCTCAGTGTTGCAATCTCTATGCTCTGTGGTTTAAATAAACTTGAAAATTATTCTATTTTAGAATTCTGTTTATAAAAATGATCTAAGTGATGTATTTGTTCATTGGTTTGGAATATTATTTGAGTGCATTATATATCTAAGGTAAAATTATTTATGTGTCATAAAGGAACCTCATAATTAATACTAGAGGAATAAAGGGAAATACGCTGTCTACCGCAATATCATCTTTGGGATGTCGTTGTAGATTAGATAACAAAAAAGCCATAAAGCATTTGAAAATCAAACAGTTCCACAGTGTTCGACAGTCTCTGCCTATAGGGTCTCAGTATTGCATTCGTGCCGACGAGAAAATTTTCTTATTTCTTTTTTTAACATTTTTCTCCACGTTTCCAATCACCCTGAGTTCGCAAACGTAAATCTCATCTAAAAAATGTCACTTCTACTAGTCTGTGTGGTTTTCACTTTACTTGAACATTTCTACCGGCCTTGATTTTCGCTACAAGAGACAATACAGATTAGGCACGGGTACATACTGATTTCACTAGATTGTCAAACCTCAGACATTTTTTCTATAATGCTGTAATTCTTAAATATCTAATGATTTAATTTCTTTTTTTAATGTCTTAAAGGATATTTATTTGTATATTTAACGTGACATCGTGGGGCCTCGGTCCGTATAAGGTGGGAACAGAGATAACAGTAGATGTAACTACAAATAAATGTCATGCTGTGAATAAAACATTCTAAGGGACGAAGGAGGGTATAGATGTGGCAACAGGGCTTGCATTTTGTACGTTGTTTATTAATGGCTTACACATTAATTGATATGTTAATTGTTTTGCAGGGCCGTCAAATCCTTGAGTTTATCCCTTCCCTTATCTCACACCACATGTCTCTTCACTCCTAATCTATAACTGGACCGGAACGACTGTCGGCGTCGCGAATATTATATTTTATTTATTTATTATATTATATGGGTGGAACCACTAGTTTAGCAGCGTCCCCCAAATAATTAAAGATTTTGATAGTCTCGGATGTGTTAGCAATTGCTGAAAATGTTAGGAGATTGGTAAAAACAAAGACGATTGGAGTAAGATCGGGATAATCGGGAATTAGATTGTGAAGCAAAGTTAATACTTAACACCTTGATCCAAGCAATTTGCTCAATATCAATTATATGATACCAAATGCTAATTGATATTGGGTAAATTAAATACTAGTGATCGCCCAGTGGTCAATATTCAAGAGTAATGTGCCAAGACCTTGATGTGTATTCAGCTATTTTTGTTGCGTCTAAATCTCGAGAACATTTTGATATCAATTGAAACCCTTGGTGTAAAAAGGATGCAAGCCACAATTAACAAGTAACTGTTTTAGCTCAAAACATTAATAAGGATCTAGCCACATACATTACCTCTATTTCGAATTAGAGGCACTATTTTTTAGTAATATTTATATTTAATTTTTTTTAAATTTGTATTTGACAGATTTAAAACAAATTTAAAACTCTTGTTTTCTCAAAACTTACAATGTTAGCTGTATCCTTATTACGCAAAGGTCTTCAATTGATGAATGCCAAAATTATGACGAATCCGGTTTTTGAAAATACGAGAAAATGTCAAATCCTCCCCCCCCCCAAAACAATAAAAATTATCTTTTTCAAATTAAACTCCCTGTATTTTATTTTTGAATTCTACTAAAAAATAATTTTTGTCTAAAACATCTTATGTATAAATTCATTTGTTTCAAGCTTTTTCGCACTTTGTAGCACTCACACGGTTGAAATTGAGGTAAAACGGTTTACATGCCCCTCACAAACAGAAGAGAAAATGTTACATGACTATTTTATCTTTAACTATTAAGGTGCGGAAAAAATGCTATCACATTCCTGGGGCTTAAATATGACGATCTAACCCAAATTACCGCAGTCCCAAAGTTGATGATTTGGAAAATACATAGTATTTTTTCATAAATAATTTTTTTAAATTTTTTAAACATTTGAAAATTCTGAAAAAATCTCAAAAATCCCCTTACGAATTATTAAGACCATCCCGGGCCCCAAATGTGAAAACAAATATTTTTAGATTTAAAAAAAAATTATTTGTAGATTTAAAAAAAAACCTGTCATTGGTGGGAGTCGAAACATTGTAGATGGTAATTCTAGCCAGACAACATTCAGGTTCTCAAATCCACAAATACCTCCAATTTTTTTTTACATTTGGGGTCCGGGGATGGTCTTAATGATTCGTAAGGCGATTTTTGAGATTTGTTTCCGAATTTTCAAATTTATTTAAAAACCTATATTCAGATAATTCTGACCTTTCGGATTTCGATTTGCGATCTACGATATGTTAAATTCACAATTTTCAATTTTTTTAATAATTAGTGTATTTTCACAATATTTGGCTAGGGGGGTTTTGTGGGGTTAAAAATTAAAAGCTGCTCTTTAAAGGGCGCTACCTGCGGTACCTTACACACCTTTAAAACGAAATAACTTTTTTGAGCCACTCTGTATTTAACTTTTAAATAAAAATTATTGTTCTCCAACGTTTTTTGAGCAGCCGTTTTGGCTCAAAAAAGTTATTCTGTTTTAAATGTGTGCAAGGTACCGCAGGTGCCCTTTAAATTTTACAATAAAAATGAGAGTAGTTTTTAATTTTTCACCCAACAAAACCCCCTTAACCAAATATTGTGAAAATACAGCAATTATTAAAAAAAATTATGAAAAACTGAAAGCAAATTCAACTTTTAACACTCTGTATTTCCGTCAACTTTTGGACTGAGGTAAGTTGGGTTAGATTGCCATATTTAAGCATCGGGAATATTTTTTAGAGTGAAAGCCATCATCAAGTCCTTCATCGGAGAGAAACATCCACAGAACGAAAAACGACAAAAGCATTTAAACAGACTTACATATTAAAATAAGCATTGATCCAAAAGAAAGTCTTTTGTGTTGAATTAATAAAATTAAAATTACACTTAATTTCTTTTTTATACAATAAAATGGACATCTCGTCGTGTCTTTAGCGGGCGATGAGATGTTTTTGTCAAATAAATTTTGTTTAAATTCTAGGAATAAGATCAAAGATTTTATTTTGGAACAAATAATGCTAAACATTTTATTTTAGAAATTCTCCATCACTGATTTATGATGTTATATTGGGCTTTATCTCTTGGGTCATAAACATTTTGATATCATTCATTTTCAAATAAACTATAAATATTAAACGTAATAATTGTACAGACAGAGGTAAGTACTCGTCCATTTAATTTACTGTCTTAATTTCTAGTCTTTTATTTATTATTATTGACGATTAATATAATCGGAAATATTTAAGAAACGTCGGTCATTCTGAAAGCTTCCATAGTTTTCTTTGCCATGTTCCCAATTCTCTTGGTTTTTACTGTAAGACACTGGTATGACGATATTAACATATGATAAAAAAATGTTTCTAAAGTAGATTGTGATAAAGACAGTTATTCGCTCCGTGCGCGACAGCAGCGCCAATTTGTTTTGGTATTAAAGGAGTATTTCTGCCTATACTGACAAATACAATTTTTAATAGAATTCGTAAATAAAAAGTATATATGTTAGTTTTAATAAAAGTATATGGATTTATAAAACAATTAAAACATTAATTTATTATTATTATATATTTTTCACGCTTAAATTGAAGAAAATTATGTATAATCATTAAAATTCAATAATAAAATATAGGCAGGCAACAGTATTTACTGGAAAATGTATGAGAAGTTGCCTAAGTCTAATAAGTTGTCATTGAAGAAACCATTTATAATAGCGTGAAGTTAAAATGTATAAAAAGGATAGCTACTTATATTTTCATTTTTGTTCTAAAGAAAACATAGAATGAATGATTAAAACTGGTTTCCGATCAGTAAGTCACAAAATTGCATACCAGCCAAATATTATAATCAACGGCAGAAATCTTGAAATCTAGTCCTTGCTGAATGAACATTTAAGAATAAAGGGATATTAAAGAACATCGTAAAATGATAATTTATTGTTTATTTAAAAACTTTCTAGTTTCTGATGTCTACTATTTCCAGCATTACTGTTATTATCACAAAAATAAAGGTAATTTTTCTTCTTATTGTACACCTATCCATTTATTTCTTTGATTTAATTTCCACTTTGTTAGTGAAATTTGTTATATAAGTTTCACTGTTTTTTTTTTTGCTAGTATTTGTACAATTTTCAACACAGCAACTCCGGTTGCTTATTGTGTTGTTTTTACCTACTTTTTTGAAAAAAAGTAAAATGTATACGTGTATTTGATATGCCAAAATTACAAAATATCCCCCTAAAATGCACGAATTATCCGCAGCTAGCGCTAGTATCGCTTTTGCTTCCCTTTCCATGACTTCGCACGGAGCGAATACTAGTCATGTCGTAATGATTACAAATCAAACTGTCATTCAAAAAAGAAAAATAATTATATAAACACCTACATGCGCGATTTTGAAACATTTTTTTTATCACTATATATTTATTTATCGGCAAGAAAAGCTTAAAGAGCTAAGATTTTTTTTAATGTTTTAGTAAATATATTTTTACTTTACAATATTTGCTGCTCTTTGCTGAATATCACCTTTTCAGGAGTGGTGAAAAAACAATTGTGAACATTTGATTAGAGAATTCAAGATGAGTAAATATAATATTTTGCATTTACTTTATTCATTTACATGCTTTTTATAATATTTGTCCAATATTTTTAATTTATCTCGTGATTTGTTTTCGAATAATTTTTGAAATAAAACAACAGCCAATTTTATCAGGAATGAAAAACTATCTAGTCAAAAAGTTACTGAGAAACTAGTTTTACATTATTTACTTAAAAAAGTTCAAATTGAAATTAGGAAAAAAATCTCGATAAAAGTAACTTCATATTATTTTACATTTACTAAAATTGGATGAATTCATATTTTTTTGTACTTAAGCACGATTGTATACAAAAATAAAGTTATTTAAATGAGAAAAACCAAACTGTAGATTTTCACACACATTTATTTAAAAAATTAAAAATTCTTCATGACAATTCGAAGTACAACTTCTTCAAATATGACTTATTTACATTTCGGTGTCTAATATACAGGGTGTCCCATTAGTGCGTAATTGTTCAATATTTCAATTTGAGTTATTAACACGTAAACAAAGTTATAAAGATTTAAAAATAGGTATTTTAAAAATTTTTGGTTATGAAGTCAATTAAAATTGTTTGACGATGTGAAAACAATCAAATATATATAACTAACTGCAGGGTGTTTTGCTTTAAAAAAGTATATATTTAGTCAGCAATTCGTTTATGGACCACCCTGTATATTTAAGAATAATTGTTAAATATAGTCATACAACTTTTATATTAAAAATTTCTTCGTATTTCTAATAATAAAACAGCTATCGGTCAATTACGCACTGATGGGACACCCTGTATATGTGTTATTGGCTAACATATTATTATGGTTGTATAGACAAATTTATAAGGAATTTTATGCTAAGATAATATACAGGGTGTTGTATTTGAGTAAATTGAACAAAATTAGGCATATTTAAGACTCAAAACACTCTTTATAAAATAAACCAGTTCTATTACCACTATTCGTTAACTTAATATCTTATAAGTCTGTACATTAAACCATTTTGGAATCAATATCAAATTATGATTATTTAATTTAGAATGTGCATCATTCTCTAATTTCAAAAAACATTCTAGGGTTGAATACAGTATTACCAAACCATTCTAAAAATAAAATATTTAAAAAACATAAATTTTAAATATGATAGGTAAAAACGTAAACATCCAAAAATATTTTTAAAATATGTAATTTTCAAGTCCATATAACTTATTTGCGTGTCTATAACACAAATTGACATATTAAACAATTACGCACTAATGAGACATTCTGTATTACAAAGTAAACTAACCAATAAAGTCGCTACCGGGATTGTATTACAGAAACCTAAGAAGAGGTAGAGATTTAATAAAGGTAATTTAATAGGTTATCTGGATTTTTAAATTTATTTATTTCAAATGTCTCTAAATGGTTTAATGTAATGCCCCTATTCTGCATATGTAAAACATCAAAATTTTCTATTAATTACTTTCAGCTAAAATATCCTTTTAAAAAGAGAATTATTTATGTTTTTAATATAACTATTGTAATGTTCTGAATAGCTTTTTTTTTAAGTACGGCCCGGTTGACCAATATATAATTTTGGGACGTCTTCTCACTTGCGGTTGTGCCATTTGCGGTCAATCAATGTGATAAAATGCAAATAATGACAGGGGTGATCTCACTTGTGGTCAAGAAAATAACTATAAATCGGCAATTCCAAGCTAGTTTTCTTTATTGCGTGAATACTGTCAATATCTAAAATTAATTCCCTAATAGCTTCAACTGTCCTCAAAGGACCCGTGTACTTGGCGAACAATCGTTACTTGCGAATACCTGCCATGTCGTGTGAGTGGGTTACTTGTACAATTATTTGTCACTCGTTGGTTTTGCATTTGTGGTCGGTAAAAATGGCCCGAGTCAAAGGGATCACGAATATTCGTACACTTGCCAAGTACATACTTGTCAAATAAACAATTATTTGCGTAAATTGTACACGCCGTGTGAGCGCCCTGCTGCTTGCCATCGCAATTCGCAAAGATCCTATACTTGCCAAGAACGCAAATAATTGCGTATTTGCCAAGTACACGAGTCGTTTGAGCCCGGCTTATCATTTAAAATTTAATCGTTAAGTACATCATTCTAAAAAAAATAATAGTACCTACTTTATCTATGTAAATGGTAATACTCATACCTTTAATGGCCTTAATCATTAAATAGGTAAATACCTAATCCCTCTGTACCTATATCTAAGGGTTTTTCATACAGAAAGAATAAGTCATTAAGATTATTATTTTATGGTTATCATCGCTGGTGTTGAATAATCTGATTTGGTTAGATATATTATGATTTGATTCTGGTTATCTCTCGATTTTCGTAATTTTTTGATATGCAATTGTTGAGACCAAGGGAAACCACTTTTGGTGTTGGTTATACAGGGTGTGCTCGAAAAATTCACCTGATAATTTATTGCATTGGATTTTATTTTTGCAAACATAGGCAATTAAATATTGACATTAAATGGTTAATAGTTTTCATTTTGTTTTAATCAATTAGAAAATTCCCTAGGTTGCAATTTGTATTTGTTAAGTATCCCAAAATATAAATAACAATTTCCGGACTTATTTCACTACAGCATAAAGATGTTACAAAAAGATATTAATAAGATTTTTAATTAAAATTAAGGAAATGTGTGTGGGATGTACTTATTAAATGTTTTGTAAATGAATTATCTCGGCATGTTTGTTTGGTAATAATATAGTAACAGAGAGCCTCATAAACAATATTATTCCGAAAAATATAGGTCTAGGGTAGTGTTGAAACACTAGTCTAGATTAGACTGAAGTCTAATCTAGACATTTATAAATTGTTAATTGATTAAAATAAAATGAAATAACCATTAACCATTTAATGTCAGTATTTATTTACATAAGTACGTTTGCAAAAATAAAATTCAGTGCATTAAATTCCCAGGTCAATTTTTAGAGTTTAGCTCAATGTTCTATTCAAAAGATGTTTATCTTTGTCTCAAGAATGACATATCACTAAAATCGAATAATTTCCAGGATGAAATGCATTATATTCAGGTCAGTTTTTTGTATAGCTGCAAAGAAATGTTCCATTTAAAAGTTGCTTCTTCTGATCCCAAAATCAACACATTATAAAATTAAGGAAATCGTTCGAAACCCAGGATACCATACATTAAGTACCATGTGCTTTTACGATTATTTTGTCACGTAGTGGCTAGAACACTAAAGTATCACCAAAGAAATGTGGAACTGTTATGGTAAGAAACACAGAACGAACAACGCCGTAGAAGGTTGGAATAATCGATTAAATAAATAAAGAAAGCACATCCCAATATTTACGCTTTTGTTTCACGACTTAAAGAAAAGGCCGAATATAATGATTTATTGACCAGACAAGAACTTAATCTGGAGTGCAAGAAGAGAAAACGTGCATACGTAAAAATAGATCAACGAATTATAAATATCCTGGAGAATTACAATGTCACAAGAGATTTAAACAAATGTCTAAAATGCTTAGCTTATGTTCAAAAACTTGTTTAAATAATTAGATATGTAGGTAAAACATTATAACTTGTATAATAAAAACCGAATAAACTTTATGTGTATTTTAAATAACTTATTAGAAATTATCAAATTTTCTTTGACCGCAAGTGGGGTCGCTCCTAACATTATTTTTTTTTCGATAATATCGATTGACCGCAAGTGGAACGATAATTTTTCTGACCGCAAATGGCACGACCGCAACTGGCACTATATCAATTTTGGATAACTACCACAATTTAATATATTTACTCTTATTGTTTTTAATATACTTCCAAAGCGTATTATTGATTTTGAAAGCTACGCTAATATTTTGGTTTTTTAAGTATGATATCTTCATTGGAGGCTTCCTATATATGTGTGAGTTTTGAAGGTACAATTTTGATTTCTAATTATGGGATAAACTTGTTGAATACCATGTTTAAAAGCCTTTTAAAAAAATACAAACGAAAAATAGTGCATAATAAAATTATTACTAGAATTTAAAATAAAAAAAAAAACACTTTAAAGCAGAATCAAAAATTCATTAATATTCGGTGTGTCCTTCATTGTTCTGTAGTAAGGTATTAACTCGCCTGTGCATAGAAACAGTAAGGGTGTTAATGTAATCCATTGGGATGTTGTTCCATTCTTCTTGGGCCGCGACTGTGAGTTCCTGGAGGGTGACAGGAGAATTAATTCTGTTTGAGATTGCTCGTCCAACAAAATCCCACATGTGCTCAATGGGATTCATAATGGGATTCAGAAGATAAATAATGGGTTCAATAATGTTTCGAACATATCTATAAGCTGTCATACTATCTGAAATGGGAATAAGCTGCGTACGACGACCATGCAGTATGCCTCCCCAAAACATTACTGTTTCTTCTTGGTATGGAACGACTTCTCTGGTAAAAGATAGTCTTTCTGGTCCCCTGGCCCTCTCCAAACTCTGTGTCGCCATCTATCACTAATTAAACCATATCTGGTTTCGTCCGAAAAAAGAACATTTCGCCACTGAGCTAAAAGCCAGTATATGTGTTCCTGTGCCCACAGTAGACGAGCAGCTATATGTCTGGGAAATAACCTGGGTACTCTTAATGGTCTCCTAGATCGTAAATTGGCTCCAGCAAGTCTCGCCGTATTGTGGTACTGGTAATGAATCGACTATACGTTCTTCTATAATGAGTTCAGACAGCTTAGACTGTTATCGTTCGATTCCGTTTTCTGGTAAAAACGCACTATTCGGATAACTGAAGCGCGGGGAATCCCTAGTCTATCTGCGATTCGATGATTCGGCAGACCCTCATCATGCAAAGCCACTTTTCTTGCTGAACACTGAAATTCTATTGCCAGGCATAGTTGCAAAGAAAAACTCAATAATCACTTAAACACGTAAAATCGATATGAACCACTTTTTAAACATTGGTACCTAAAATTGTGGGAAATTGTTTTTGTAAACATTTTTAGATGAGCAGTATCAACGGTGAAATAAATAAAGATTAAATGTACAAAAAAGCAGCCATGATAAATATTTCGTTTTAGTATTTACGAGGGGGGTCTAAGAATTTTGACGATGTGTGTATATTAGACAGTGAAATGTAAATTAGTCTCATTTGAAGAAGTTGTGCTTCGAAACAATTTTCATGAAGAAATTTTATTTTATATTTTTAAAATAAAAGTGTGTCTACCAAGTTTGGTTTTTCTCATTTAAACTATATGGTTTTTCATTAAGTAAAGGCCGAAACTATCAAGAATATAGTTTTCTACTCGAACATAATGGTTAATATTTGCTAGGATAACTCGATCTTGGCCAGAGATGTTAAAAAATCTTAGATTAAAGAGACCGCTAAGTAAAAAATGTAATACGCTTGTTTCGAAAACAATTAGTAAAGTTATGTTTCTATATTAGTTACTTTTCTGATTGCTTTATTAATAAGCTTGATTTGTTTAAACCAAATTAACTATTTTGAGATGTGCCAAAATAGTTATTTTTCAGGTCGTTTTTTGTGTTAATTATTGTATTCTATTAAAAGAGATTATGGTAATATTTTGTTGTTATTCTTAGTTTTGTAAATTTTTGAATTTTATTTAAAAAGTTTTGATAGAATGATCTTGTATATTACTGATCAGACAAATTACCAACTTTCTCACATTGTACGGGTTTTACTACTATAAAATTTTATCAATTATTATATTTTTAATAATAAGGTTTTAATTAATGTACGCATTTTAATTTCCATATATTTTAAAAAAACCCTCCTGGTGAGTTTTATCCAAATAAAACATATTCTTTCTTGAGTTCTCTACTAAATAAATTTAATAGTACCTACTAATGACAGGTTTTTATTGTTATCAGAACTAGGGAAAACTACCCCATTTTGGGTTGTGCTAATTTATTCTAAAAACCAAATAAATCCAAGATGTATTAATATTTTAAAAATATTTTTGTATGCAGGCTGCTCTATTTGTGTTGTATATTGTATTTTTTAATTGGGTACAATTATTACTAATGTATTATTTTTTATCAATTTTATGTTTTATAAATTAAACAATATGTACATAAAGAAGTTGTTTTATTAAAATTATTTATTCTGGTCGACACGGGATAGGCACGGGCGCCAGAATTATACACAGGTGCACATTTTTAAAAGCCTATAAATGCTTTATTTTGTTCAATAGACTAGAAATCCTGATCCTAAGTCGTGGTTGTTATTCTCGGTCCTAAGATTATTCTCAATAAGTGGTTGACACAAATTGCTATTTTCAAACTTGGTTAAATTTTTTTGCAAACTTATAGGAAATCGTTCTTGGTTAAATTTATTATATATAGTACTCCACTTTCTGAACAAAAGAGCCCACTAGCCCAACCTCATTTTATCCACTCTAGAAAAGTCAACCATACAGGCAAGTTACACAGGGTTGTCCACAAGGAGGAATACTATCTCCAGTGCTGACCTACTGTCCAAAGGAGGCTACAAGTGTCTAGAATGCGCAGACGACCTAGCAAGTATCGTCAGGGGGCCGATTCGCAGGCACAGTCTCAGATATCTCAAACAGCTTTAAACATAGTGAACAACTGGTGCAAAAAGAAGCAATTGTCCATTATCGCAAAAAAACCACAGTTGTATAATTCACAAAAAAAAAACCGGCTACTTACACGACTAACTTGGGAAGACTTGAAATATATTTGATAAATCATACAGTCAAAAAAATCAGAAATGGCATTTAAACCAAAAATTAAAGGATTTGATGCCTTAAGTATGCCACCTACAAAAGAAGAACTTCTGTAGCAAATTAAAAGAATGTATATTTCCAGTACATGGTGCAATTCTTTTTTAAGATGTCCAACCTCATTGCAACCGGAGGATTGTGAGTGGATATTAATAGACAACCGATTTCTTTATTATTTGTTTGATGGGCCTCAAAAGTCCGTCATTTCAAGATATATCAGTTACAAGCAAATTTTTTTAAGACATTTTCTTGATCGATCTCGGAAGGTGTTCTTTGTTACCAAATAGAAAAGGTAACGCCATCCATCTTGAAGTTTCAATGCTTTTCTAGGGGCTGGTAACCGATCTTGAAGTTCTGGCAATCGATTAAACTTCTTCCGGAATACAGATGCCAGACCTCGAGCGTCGTAGATGTTGGCGGAAGTGCTATGGACCAGTAAGTAATCTTTAAGAACCGTGAGCAGGTCTTGTTGTTGCTCGGTTGTAACACCATATGCACCCATAAATTCTTCAAAGACCAGGTAAGGTGTTTCTTGGAGCTGGTTTACTTCTTCCTCTTCATGGTCACCCCAAGAAGGCGCCAGCTGGTTTTGGTGCACTACCTTTGGTTTACCGTTCGAATTCTTACTTATGCAGTAAATGACATCATTGATTTTTTTCTTGATGATATACGGACCTTCCCAAGACCTTTGAAGTTTCGGAAAATAACCCTTTTGTCTTTTTGGGTTATGGAACCAGACTTTGTCGCCTTCCTTGAAACATCCTTCTGTGGCTTGGGTATCGTGTATCGCTTCTTCATTCTATTGCTGGCGATTTGAAGGTGCGAGCGGACCAATTCATGCATATCGTCCATTCTTCTTTATAACTGGATCACATAATCTTCACCAGCTACATCTCCTCCAGGTCGGCATCCAAACTTGAGGTCGTACGGTAGTCTCATCTCACGCCCAAACAGGACCTTTGCTGCTGTTTGGCCTGTTGATTCATTGACAGCGGATCTATACCCAGATAGCACAAATACGTCTTATGGACGTTCTAAAAACGTCCTGCTTGGACATTCAGGACATCCTTAAAACGTCCATTTCACGGACGTGGACGTCTTTGGAACGTCCATTGTTAATAATCAGGATGTCTTAAGAACGTCCATTTAAGGACATTCCATGGACATTTTCAAAAGCTCGAATGGGGAATAATAGGATGTAAGGAAATTAGTGAAAATAATGAATAATTTCAAAAAAATTTATTTAGAAGCAAATAACCTATAAATAATAAAATTATTGAAAGTTATCCTCAAATTCATTCCGACTCTCCTCTACTTTACTCTTTTTAACCATGCCTGGATTGACAGCAGTCAGTTTTTTCCTGATTTGGCCATATTTGCCTTCTCAGTTGAACCTGAAAATAATTTAATCGCTTATTCAAAATGAAAGGCAGATCAATATGAAAATCCAATCTGTTTGTTAAAGTTTGCTCTGCTAGACATTATGAATTCACTAACCTTTTAGCTTTGTAGTATTCACTGAAAAACTCCTCTACTTTACTCTTTTCAACCATGCCTGGATTAAAAGCAGTCAGTTTTTTTCTTGATTTGGCCATATTTGCCTTCTCAGTTGAATCTAAAAATAATTTAATCAACTTATTCAAAATAAAAGGCAGATCAATATTAAAATCCAATCTGTTTGTTTAAGTTTGCCTTGCTAGAAATTATAAATTCACTAACCTTTTAGCTTTGTAGTATTCATTGGAAAATTTCCACCTTTCTCAGAAATAAAAATGGTACAAACTGCAAAAGATTAATATCCATCAACCACAAACTCACAGAGTCGAATCACAGTCAAATGGCGGGATGATAGAACTTGTACTCGTATAATATGTATATACCATCGAATCATGAACATTGAACACATTTTTTCTTTTTTTTAGTAAAACCTGAGTCCTGAGAATATTTCAGGAGTGCGTTTAGAAACCCCGCACGGCGCGTGTGACCACATGCATTAGGATAGGGCCCAGACGCGCCGTGCGGGGTTTCTAAACGCACTCTGTGCTTAAATCTTAAATAAATAAAAAATAAAATGACACTTGTCAACTTAGTCTCTTTCTTGTAAATGACCTTCTTCGTTTTTGTCTATTTGGCCTTTTTTCAATTGGGTGGGTATTGGGACAATGTTATCTTTATTAATTATTTATATTATCTCATTATTATATGTTTTTTATATAATATAACCAAATAATAATGCAATGCGAATGTGAATCCATGGAAATATAGTAAAGTACGTAAAATTAACGTTCTGCGGATATCTATTTCTTGACGTCCCGAGAATTTACTAAACTGGGCATATTTAAAACGTCCATAATTGGTCCTGGACGTACAGACGTTAAATGGACATGTAATGGACGTCCTTAGGACGTCCTGTGCTATCTGGGTAAGCCATTGCAAAGAGCGAAAGATACTGATCCGAATCTCGCTGATATGGTTTGAAACCACTTTTGACAGATATTTGCCAATGGTATTATTCATTCGCTCTACCATTCCATCGGATTGTAGGTGCAATGCTGTGGTTCTAGTTTTCTTCATGCCTAGTCTGTCACAGATTCCACGGAAAAGTTAACTTTTAAAATTTCTGCCTTGGTCACTGTGGATCTCAAAGGGCACTCCAAATCGACAGATAAACTCTTTTATCAATACATCTGCAACAGTTGCGGCCTCTTGATTTGGAATGGCGTAGACTTCCATCCATTTCGTGAAATAATCCATAACCACCATCATGTGTTTATTACTATTCTCGGTCATGGGGAATGGTCCAGGAATATCTAAGGCGATCCTCTCAAATAGGCTACCAACGTTGTATTTCTTTACGGGAGCCTTCCTTTTTCGCTGAGGTCCACTACTCACAGCTGGTACATTTCTTATGTTATGTTATGTTGAAAATGGGGTGTTAATACACTGCGACCTAAAAGATCTATTGTGCCCCCTTCTATCGCCAATGCACTAAGGAAATGTCTCAATGCCTATAACGACCCTTCCAATCCTATTTCCTCAAGGAAGTATAGGATTTGTAGTGCCCTTGGATTCTGGAGTGCTACACATTCAGTTAGGACGTGAATGGAGGTTTCGTCCTCCTCCCACAGAATCTCCTCTACTACTCTCAGTTTACTTAGGTGTCCTTTTAGTCGGCAATGCCCGGTAAGGATCACTGTTACAATACGTAGCCTATTATTGCTCAGGCAGATGCAGGCTTCCGATCTTTTCTGGTTATATTCACCCAGAAGTATCTTGACATGTCTCAGCCCCAAGAGATTGTTCCAATTATACTGCACAATTCTCTTTTAATCTCCGAATATTGTGTTACTGCTGATACCGCAGAATGGCTCAGGTCCTACAAAGGGTGTTTGAGCCTCTTTCCTTGCAAGACTATCTGCAATCTCGTTACCCTGTACCTCGTTATATCCCGGGACCCAAGTGAGAGTAACTCTATTTTTCTCGCCTAGCTCATTCAATTGTTCTAGGCATCTCCAGACCATTTTTGAGCTGATTACGTATAAGAGCTCAGCGCTTTGATGGCTGCTTGACTATCGGACATGATGATAATCTCTTGACTATGATAGTTTCTCTCGATGTTAAACTGGATACATTTCTCGATGGCGTGAATTTCCGCCTGGAAGATACTTGGGTATTTTCCCAAGCTTTCGGAGGGCTTGGTTCTCGGCCCATACACTCCTATTCCAGTCCTTTCTATGGTTTTGGACTGTACTTTTTTTGAATTTCATCCTGGGGCATGTCCCAGGTATCTTTAGTCCTGAAGCAAGTAGACTTTCGTCTGATTACTCCGTTTATGATCATTCTATATCGTGTCCTTTTTGCCACATTCTCTATCATCAAATGTAGAGGGGTGAGGTTTAAGATCACCTCCATGGTACATTTCTTACACCAGTCCTTTACATCATCGGAACTGTTCATCCAATAAAACCTTTCACGAACTCTCTGAAGGGGTTTCTTAACACCGAGATGTCCTCCTGATGGACTGTCGTGTAACTGACGAAGTACTTCGGTTACTCTTCTCCTTGAAATGACCAACTGTCTTCTGTTCTCGAAACCATCATCATTTTCAAGTACTCGTTTTAATAAGCCATCTTCCAGTATAAAAGAGTCCCACTGAGCCAAATATAATTTAAGTACTGGAGAGAGATTAGATACTTCTTGCAAAGTAGGTCGACGATTTTGCTCTTTCCATTGTCGCATGTTCTTTAAAACGGTATCGTTCTCTA